GTGATGACCTTCTTAGCATGGTTCTGTAGACAGATAACATATTGATGAGATGTTTTGAGTTACTTGGATGGGAGAAATTATCAATACTGTCTAATTCACCAGAATTCTAGCCATTCTCCCTAGCAAAGCTTGCGGAGCCATTTGCCTAAATATTTGGCCCTAGTGATCTAAGGTAACCCTCAAACAACTGGGGGTCGGGCCTGTACACACACTACTGATCGGAGGGTCCTAGGACTAACGTCTTGTGTGGCCATACCGATGGCGCTCCAGAAGTTCAGTATGACCTGCTGAGTGTGGTTTATTAGTGAGCCGCTCAGACCTTCGATGCCAGTTCTAGTTGCAATGTCATATACGCAGGATTAGCCTTTTTGGAGGGAAGTCTACCCATCCCAAACTGATTCTGACATTTTAGTATTTGCTGTCACTCATGTGAATTATCAAAAGAGCCCTCATGGTGCAGTGGTTAAGCTCTCAGTTGCTGACTGAAATGTGGGTGATTCCAACCCACCCAGTGGCTATGAGGGCGAAGACTTACTAATTTACTCTCAGGAAGACAATAGGGGATTCCGGGGGTCGGGCGTTCTGCTGTGTCACACGCACTCCATCGCACAGGGTTGCTGTGAGTCTAAAGCGAATTCAGCACCAGCTAACACCAACAGGGTGCATTTGGAGTCCCTGGGTGATGCAAAGTTCATGGCTGCACGCGGCACTAGCTGAACATTGGCAGTTTGAGTACCCTCAGAGGCTCCTCACAAGGAAGGGGATGATGCATGTTTGAAAATCCAACCATTGAAACCCCTGAGAAATGAAGTTCTCTTCTGACACACGGGGCACCTCTATGGGTTGAAATCAACACCGCAGAAATGGTTTTGTTTTGTTTGGAGCTTACATGAGTTATGCTATCCATGGAAGTGTTCTCAGACGACAGAGCCCAAGTGCTTAATGTGGTACCACACACAGTGTGAAAACTTATAGAAGATCTGAGGTATTCAAGAATCCATTGGGAGGAAAAAACAAACAAATAGCTTCACACCTACTGGGTGCTAAAAATTCGTACAGTGATTAATAAAGGCAATGTAAGGAGATGTAGTTTAAAGTTATAATTATTTAAAATATTATTGCTTCTCTGATTACTCTTTTACAAAACCTCCTCCTTGTCCCCACATGCCCCCACCCCTGCCCTTCCCACCTCATGACACACACCTGGAACCTTAAAAAGCCTCTGTGATCTTTTGCTAAAGTGTGTATTTTGAAATTCTCCCCCTGACAAAGGGCCTCTTTTATACAGTAGAACAATTGAGAGAAACTCTTTGTTCATCAGCCCTCTGAGGAGCATATAATGAATGATGCAGAATTCATAAGTTTCGTAAAAGGCATATTGAGAAGACTAGGCCCCAAATTCAGTGGGTAGTAGACTACTCTTTTCCCAGTTATTCATTCCAACAAAGTGACTCATGTTACTTCTGTAGACAAAGTCTTAAGATTCCAGTTACCGGTCAGAAATCCCTATTGACGATGGAGTTTCTTGGAAGAACACACCGAGAAATGATAAATGCGGCCAGTGCTCCTTGCACCTGTGTAAACAAGCACTGCCCTTCACCGATCAGCGTCTTTCTCGTTCCAGTCACGGCTTCCCCTAGTCCCAGATAGCACCTTCTCTCATTTGTAAAAGAAATCCTGATTGGGGAGTGTGTGTGTGTGTGTGTGTGTGTGTGTGTAGTACTGTGCAGTGTGTGTGTGTGTGTGTGTTTAGTACTGTGCAGTGTGTGTGTGTGTGTTTGCAGTCTCTTTGCATATAGGGGTCCTGGGGTGTGAGAGAGAAAGCTTTGACCCAAAGGGACCATACCATGGTGGTTTTCCAAATGTGTTCTCAGAACTGGGGCCAACTTCACCTGGTAGCAACTTATTAGAAATGCACATTTGAGGGCTTATCCCCAGGCTTTGTGCAGCAGCAGCCCTGAAGGTCTGATCAGCAAACTGCATTCTTTTACCAACACTCAAGGTGATTTCAGAATTGTTAAAGTCCAGACTCACTGCCCTGACGGACAGTGAAGACATGTGAAGTGATGGGGACAAATGGTTAATCTCTAAAGAATTCCAGGTAGAACGTACTCCGGGGTTGGATTTTTTAAAAGTGAATCACCACGCTTTTCTCAGCAGCACTCCCTGGTGGACTGCAACTTCCAGTCTTTGGTTAACAGTAGAGTTAATAGTTTACCCCACCCAGGCCTGGGATACTTTTCTACTCCCTGTTTTTATGTGGCTGAGGATGTCTCACTGTATTTCACATGGTTATCATTGTTTTTCACATCAAAAGTTATTTGCCTCAAAGGACTTCTGAGGTATAAGTTGTTTCTTTCTCTTCTGTGTCCCACAAGTCATTAAAGAGTTCATGTCGATTGTTGGCTATGTTGGGTTTCCATTTAAACTCTATTTTGCTTGTTTGAAAAATACTTTTTCGTTTAAGCATGCTTTTAAATTCTAATTTGATTTGCTGAATTTTGCTGAAGGACTTAAGCTCGGGTTTCCTACCTCAAAGATTTGGCTACCTGTAGTATGCATGCTAAGGACTTTTAATTTGGGGCATTATATTTGGTAAAATCAACAACGGGCTTTTGAAGACCTGCCAGGAAACTTGAGGCTGAGTGTGTTTGCATATTGCATAATTGAGGGTTTCACCCTACCTTCTATGTGGCTTACTATCAGGGAAGAAATTCTTATCATTACCATTTAATTTGTACATAGGATTTTATCCTAATCAACCTGATGAGCTAGTTAGTGCATTTTAAAAATCATGTTTGGAAAACTGATGTTTCCCTCTCCTATCCTCTAATTCCATTTCCTTCCACCTCTTCTCATTCCTTTCTTTTATTATATTAGAAAAAGAGGTGGGTTTTGTTAAAAAAATAAAATAAAATAACCTTGGCCAAAAATATGTCAAGGATTTGGAAGAAGAGTATATAAAAAAAAACAAAGGTGAACAGGGCATAATTACCCCACAAGCATTAACAACCCTGGGAATGTCAACTGGAAGCTGGGACCATTTCAGCATATGCCACTGGAGCCTTTAGTC